GGGAACAAGAGATTCAGGGGAGAATTCCATCCAATGAAGGTTGAGGGGGGGGGCTGCACTCTAAGGTCAGGGTCAGTGATTGGATCCCTGGGGTCAGTGGTCAGGCACACCCCCACACGGATGGGCTCTCTCATCAGGAAAGGGCCGGGAAAGCTCCGACACAGCCAGAGCGCCTCAGACCCTTAATGGGAGCCACCCAATCACGTGTCAGAAATGGCTTCCCACAAGTGGGTAAAGGTGTGGCGTGATATGGAGGAGAAGGGAGTCTTGGAAGTTAGAAGGTATCAAATCAAAAGCACCTGCTACCCCAGCCCTTTTGAGGACTCTCAAGAACTGGAATGGACTTCAGCACACTGAACTATTCTCTAGCTGGAGCACCCACCCCCTCTATCCTGGGTGTCAATCCTTCATTCATATATAAAGTCTCTCTGAGGTTGGGGAACTTGGACCAGAGCTTGGAGGTAAAGGAAAACCAATCAGGTCTACTATTCCTGCTTCCCAAAGCGGAACTAAAGAGAAACAGGCGTTTCCCCATAGTCACCAGAGCAGTAGCTGACACCCATCACCATGAAAGGATATAAAGGTTTTGACTGTCCTTCAGGCAGAGGCTGAGAATTGTTCATGTTACTGTCAGCTCAGCAGCGTGCCCTAGGGGGTTTGGTTCTAAAGGGGAGAAGTTTGATACCCACGGGGCCTGCTATCTCCCCTTGGTAAATTGGCGGCTACTAGGATTACTAAGAGAAAAGCTTAAGTTTTACCTTCCTTCCTTCCAGGCCTAAATCAAATACCTCTCCCTCCTAGGCATCCTTGTCTAGACTTGTCCCGGACTCCTTTGGGCCTGTGTGACACTGAGGGGAAGCCCCATTTTTAGCACCACCACACCCTGCCCACTCCTTACAGATCCTGTATGGTAACATRGGGAGTGACAGCCAGCAGTAGCCTGAATATAGGATTTGGAGTCAGAAAGACCTGGGTTTGGGCCTGAATTACCAGCTCTTCCCAGTTTTGGGATGGTGGCAAGAGAGTTGGCCTTTCTGAACCTCTGTCTCCTCATTTATTGAATGTAGATAATAAGCTAACAAAAGAAGAAAGTGGCTAATAAAAGTTTATTAGAGATGGGATAAAAAAATGGTAGTGTCATAGTTATCAAGGAAGGCCAGCACTGTATAATATTCCCTTTTGCTTTCCAATGGAATTCCATGCTTTAGATTTAGGAAATGCTTGCTAAAATAGTTAATATTATTGAATAAAGCTGAAAGAGTTAATGTGAGAAAGAAATGATAGTTTTATAAAATTGCCTCCCCCCCAAATGGCCTAAGGAACAAAATATTTCTAATCAAATCAGAGGACTAAGTTTTAGAGTTTATCTGTCTTTATCTTTAAAAAAAAAAAAGATTAGGGTAAGCCAGGTGTGGTGGAAAATGCCTCTAATCCCAGCAACTCAGGAGGCTAAGGCAGGAGAATCTCAAGTATGAGGTCAGCTTCAGCAACATAGGAGACACTGTCTCAAAATTTAAAAATAATAAAAAGGGCTGGGGATATACCCCTGAGTTCACTCCCCAGTACCCCCCACCAAGTGGTAAAATACACATAACATAAAATTTCTCATTTAAATAATTTTAAATATACAATTCAGTGGCATTATGTAGATTAATGTTGTCATACAACTATCACTACAGTACTTGTCTTTGTCAAATACTGAAACTCTCTGGGTGAGGTCTAGAGTATGGAATAGCACTTTAGCACATTTGCTGGAAAAARCATCTTACATCTTGCTTTTTTCCAGAGATAAACATCTTCCTAAGCTTCTGTACCTCTTTCTATAGTTCTGCACATTTGAGTTAATTTCAGTGTATGGTCAAACTTGCCCATTTAAATATTGCTTTCTGGCTCACTGCGTGACCTTGGGCAAATTACTTTACCTTTCTGTGCTTAATCTTCACGTTTTTAAAGCAGGGGCCATAGTAATAGTTTTAATCCTAGAGTGTTGTTGGGATGATTAATTAAGTAAATATTTGTCAATACTCTATGAGTGGCACATGRTAGGTACAATGCAAATATTTCCTATTATTTTATTATGAGAAATACTGTCTTCAAAATCTCTTTTTCCTGCTGGATCGAAAACGTTGAGAATGCAGATACTATCAGTGTCATCTACTATTTAATTAATTCACTTGCAAGAAACTCCAAATAGGTTTATAGTCTCCCATTTTCACTTTTTTTTTTTTTTGGTCTTTTAAAATATTTTATTTATGTGCACATGGGCTTACTTAAAATTTTTATTTATTTGCACATGGACATACTCAAGGAAAGATTAAGATAACTACTGTTTCATGAGCTTTCTGGTTTTATTTTAAAGGAGAAGTGAGTTTGGGAAGGAGATGGGTAGGGAAATGGACTTGTTCCCTTTTGGGGGGATTGTGATCTAAAGCATTGGCTGGAGTACCTCCTGGATCCCAGAGCCATTTGCCTTTTCCCACTTGGGGAATTCCTGAGCTCTATGATGAGTAACCAAGTGTACATTGGCCTTTAGGAGGTGCTGTTAGTCAAGATTATTTTAGTCTGGGACAGAGAGAGAAAAAACCTAGGAGCAATGACAAAAGCAGGAAGTTAGAGTCACCATCCTCCACACCAATTGCGACAGCAAGTTTTGGGTTCTCTGTTGCTACACAAATGGACCTCAGAGCGCATAAAGGATTCAAGGTTCTTTGAAACTTCATTTTAAGGAATTTTTCAGAGAACTTTTTCCTTCCAGAGGCTTGGTGGAACTTAGAGTGGAAGACATGTGAGTAACCCCCACCACCACCCCGCTTCCAGGTTCAGGCTCGACCTTCTCCTTTGTTCAGKCCATAGAAATTTGCAAAAATCCTTATTGTCAGCAACGACATTATTTCTGCCTCGATGTCTTTGCTGTACCAGGGGGAAARTGAAAGTTAGTTGAAAACCAGGAAGTCTTCAACATAGCCTGTTACCGGTAGATGTACCCTAGTCCAGACAGGTTTGACAGACTCACTGAGGTGAGGGGTCAGAATCTTAGGAAAACACAAGGCAGATGATGTGGAAGACCCCAAAAGGTTCTCTAAGCAACCAGTTGGTGGACCTCAGGACGACCAGAAGCACAGACACCAACTCATGTTACATTAAAATAGAAAAGCTTTTCTTTTTCTTTTTTTATTTTTTTCTTCTTCYCCTTCTTCTTCTCTTTTGAGGTGGGGCTGTGCCATGTTGCTAAGACAAGTAGTTGAGACAACAGGCACACACCACAATGCCATCTATTTTCTTTTTTTTTCTGACAACAAAAGTAATATCTATTCAAATTAAAGAAACTCAGATGGAAGCCCAGAAGAAAATTTATAATATCTAAGTGATATCACCTTGATATAAACACTCTTTGTTATTGAAATTTTGTTCCTACCTTTAGAAAGTATTTTCCTGTTTCTAAAATAGCTGAAATTCTGCAAAATGAATTCATACCTCAGTCTTTATAGAATGAATAAGATTCTAGTGAAGATCTTTATCAATGCGTTTCTCCTTTGAGTAGAATGAAATTCAGTGTAAAGAATCCTAGAGTTTATAAATAGATCAGGTAGATAAGTACTTTTTTTTTGTAACTTCCAACACTAATTTGAGCACTTCTTATTAAAAAAAAAAAGCAAACAAACAACCCCACCCTTTTCTTCTCAGTAGATGGGAAGAAAAGGGTGATGGCTTCCTTGTTGTGAGATAAAGGCTGGTTAGCGTTAGCAACCTGCAGTTAAGGATTCACCCTCGTCCCTCAGGGTACCTGATCGTCTTAGGTTGTTCTTTCTGAAATGTTCACCAAGCCAAGATTGCTTTGTTTCTACAACTTAAAACGTAGATTTAAGTGTTGTTTCTGCCAATTGGGAAGSTTACAAGTTCCAACCAGGTTACCGGGCCTGAGAGAAATTGTGCTGTATCTTCCCCACTCTTAACTCTCTCCCGCTGGAGAAAACAGAGTAAATGGAGTTCCAATAAAACTCCCTCCAAATCTCCTAGAAAGTAACTTATAAATGTTGGAGTAGAGTTTTCTGTTTTTTTTTTCCCCCCTGTRGTGCTGGGGATTGAATCCAGATGCTCACACATGTTACACAAATGGTCTACCCCTGAGCTAGATCCAGTACTTTTTTATTTTTATTTTGTGCCAAGGATCTAACTTGTGATCCTACACAATTAGCCTCCCGCGTCACTGGGATTACAGGTGTGCATCCATACAGCAGGCTGGGCTCTGGGGTTTTGAAGTAGCCCCGCATAATTTTAATTTTTGGCACCTCCAAGAATTCTAATGCCCCAAACAGAAGMGGCTGGGAATCATAGAGAGCCTGGCAAATGCCCAGAACAAAGCAGGCCAGAATTGAGGGCGGATCCAGAACCCAACGTGCCCCGTGTCTCACTCAGTTCTGAGGCCTCCTTCCCCATTTTCTTTTTCAGGATGGCCACATCTCAAGATCAAAGTCTGGGTTCCAGTTCAGATGAAACCTGTCAATTGAGATTTCGAGAGAAGCTTCTAGCTATTGATTTGGAACTGAAGGTTCAAGATGTAGAAAGCCTAAAGTTTCTCTGCATAGGTTTCATCCCCCAGAATAAGATGGATAAGTGCAGGTCTGCCTTGCATCTTTTTGATTATCTCATGACAGGGGAGATGATAAGTGTAAAAGACGCCTTCTTCCTGGCAGAACTCCTCTATACCATCAAGCAGAATTATCTGCTGCGGCACCTAGGCTACACCAAAAAGCAGGTGGAACATTTACTTCCCATCCGAGGGAGGCTGTCTCCATTCAGGTGAGGAGGTGTCTGAGAAAGACTGGAGGGTTTTTCTGTGGAGGGTGCATTCTGGCCTTTGAGCTTTAAAAGAAAGCTGGAATTAAGATCTTTGTCTTATCTACCCCCTAAAAGGATAAACCAGGAGATTCTATTGGGGGAGACTTCTCAGTTTCAGATGGTTGGGAGATTTATGAAGTTTCCAGACCCAGCCCTGGGCTTGAACATGGCTTTCCTTTGTTGAGCTGGTCGCTATCCATGAAGCCACACCAGGTGGCGAGTCCTGAGCTTTTCTGGGTTCCCAGACTCTGTGCGGGCAGGAAGCTCTTCCTCCTGGGATGCTCTGGTGTGTCTGCTTATATTCAAGGATCTTAAACAAAGAAATAATGAATGCTTGGAGTCAAATAAGCAAAATGAAAAAGGAAATATATCTCTGGGGGACATCACATATGTCATGTCTGGTTATAGATTTTTATACGTTTTTGGCAGAAACTCAGAAAGATAAAATATCAGACAGACATTTTGCCAAGAAGGTAAAATACCAGCATTGGGCCCACCATGGCCACACCTTTGACAGCAGTGTTTTAAACTATCTATAGATATTGTAGCATCCACTTAGGAGAACCTGAGGAGAAGCCACCTTCAAAGGATGTTTTGTGGAGATGACAGCCCTTTAGGCCTTGGCCTTGAAGCTGATCCCAGTGGAAGGATGATGAATTCCAGAACTCCATGCTGCCCTCTGCCAGCTAAACATCTGAGGGATGCTTCTGGCATCTGTTAGTGTGTGAATGTGCCTTTTTAAATATGTAGTGGGCTGTATATTGGCCAACATCAGGTCCTCTCTAACAAGGGCCTGTAAATGAAGCCTGAATTTCTAGAATGGAGTCAGATGGGAAAGCATGCTGAATCTGGGTGTATACTTTCCTAGTACGGAAACAGCACTGCACCAGGAATCAGCCAGCCTGCCTCTACTTCTCACTGTGTTATCTTAATTTAAATAGGTCACTTAGAGGCTCAGAGTTTTTGTTTTTGAATGTWTCAAAGGAGAGTCATAATTGTCCACTCCCAGTGTTGATCATTCAAATGACAGGTAACATTTGTGAAAGCCCTGGATTTACCATGGTATCCTCTGCAAGTGTAAGGCTTCATTTGTCCTTTTGGATGTGTTTCGTAGAAAACTACTCTATGAACTGTCAGAAGGCATTGATGAAGAGAATTTGAAAGCAATCATCTTTCTGCTGGCAGATAAGATTCCCAAAGGCTTGACGGTGAGTGAATSCTACAGCTGGGGATTTAGGCAAGCACTGCTTTCACCCATGATTGACACAGGAAGATTCTTCTTTTGAAAAAGGGAGGCAGTACCATATGTGGTTAGGAACATTGACTTTGGTCCATGGATCATTGTTAGGAACACTGTCTTTGGCATTGGATGGGCCTGRATTCTAGTCCTGATTTTGCTACTAACCCTTTGTTGTAGCCAAGTGATTGAACATTTCTGACTTTGTATTTCCTTATATGTCAAATTGAATCTAATCTTACCACTTCCTTCTAGTACTGAGGAATTAGATGAAATAATGTGCAAAAAGCACTAGCAGAAGTGTTTGGCATTTTAACTGTGCAATAAATACTGACTATTTTTGACAGTCATGTGTTTTATGGTATAAAAGTCATTTGGAGCACAAGAAGGGAATGAAGAGGTGGTAAGCAATAGCAGATTGAGAGTTCTGTGTTCATCACCTACTTCAGGTGAGGGTTTTGAGGGAGCCTAGGTATGGTTTTTGTGAAGATCAAGTGAAAGAAATGTTTGACAATGTTTTGTAAAGGGRTGCACAGGTGTGTTGAATTACTAGRAATGGTTTTAAGATTAACAGAATTGTTTTCTCTGTATTGGTCATATTTAAAGGCAGCACAATTGTTTTATGTGTATCTCCCAAGCCCCAAATTAAATTTTAAAATTTTGWCTTGAGGGCTGGGATTGTGGCTCAGTGGTAGAGCACTCGCCTAGCACATGCAAGGCCCTGGGTTCGACGATCCTCAGCACCACATAAAAATAAATWAAATAAAGGTATTGTGTCCAGCTACAACTAAAAAAGTAAATGTTAAAAATTTTTTGACTTGAATAACTTATGACAAACAAGTTAGCTAGTTTGAGAAGGGAAGATTTTCAAATTTTACCCTATAACATTGTGTTATTTGTTGTTGTTTTTATTAGACTTTAAGTTATGTAAGTACATAAGAATATAACAGTATTCAGTAGGACAAAAGAATACTTGTAACATGGGTAGAAGTGTTGAAACATAGTCATGAAGTGAACAGTCATGGACCCACCATCCAGATTCCAAATGGAAGCATCAACCTGGGTCAACTGATGTTATTGAGAAATAACATGAGAAAGTCACTGGGGAGTGGGAAGTAGTTTTATGTGATGGGTCAAATGAGCACTATGTAATTCATTAGACAAATTTCCTGGAATCACGTCTGAGACCGAATGGGTTCAGTCTCTTCTGACCATAACCTTTGAGTCATTTTATTCCCTTTCTAGAGTCCTCAGGAATTTCAGCCTCTTGAGTTCTTCTGTTGGTCACTCTCTACTCTCCCTTTTGTGTTTCTTGCTTCCAAGGATTGGCTGTGCGTGCCTTAAGGGTGGGGACTGAGTCTAATTCATATTTTAGCTCTGACTTGTGGAATCTGTTACAAAATGGGGTAATGACGAGGCCATCCTCTATCTTCTCTTTATGTTTGAGAAAGCTACCTGAACCCTTTTATAGAATTTTTGTAGTGCTGGGGATCAAACCCAGGACCTTGCATATGCTAGGCGAGTGCTGTCCTACTGAGCTGCATGTCCAGTCCCTGAGCCTTTTCCTTTTATGGGATTTTTGCAGTAATAACTAGGAGAGGTAACAGGAGAAACTAAAGAACTGGGAAGGTGATGTGCAAAGATATAACATTTTCATAGTTGTTGCTCTTGTCAGAATCTACTAGTTTTCTCCCTTAGATGGTCCTTGAAGTCCTGTGTTTTTCATCTTATACATTTCTGGTTTTGTTTTTTACACATTTTTTTCTTTTGCCTTTTTATCGTAAAAAAAAAAAACAACAACAACAAAAAAAAAACAAACAAACAAACAACCAACAGAACACAGGTATAGAAAATGACACAAAACATACAGAGTAATGCACTATTATAAGGCTAATACCCTTGAAACCACCACCTAGGTCAAGAAACCGCATTTTGCATTTAAGCAAAATCATATTGTACAATGTGTCATCTGAACTTGCTGTATGTGCTCCTGATCTGAGTGCTTTCAAAATAAGTGAATAGACAAGAACTTAAAAAAAGAAATGCAGGGAAAAAATATTAAAAATTCCCATCTACTCTGGAAATTGCTCCATTTGCCCTGTCCCAGTCAGATTCCTTCTTGGCCCTTAGAGGTAACCACTGTCCTGACTTTTAGAACTGCATTGTTATGTTTCTTGATGACTTTTTCACTTAACTGGGAGTCCCTAGATCTCTTGTTTAGTCTTGTTCGGTTTTTCTTCTTTCAAGAGTTTTTGAATCTGTAGGTTAAGTTCCATTCCCCCAGTTGCTTTCTTTTCTTTCTTTTCTCTTTTTTCCCTCCAGTACCGGGGATTGAACCCAGGACCTTGCCCATGCCAGGCAAGTGCCCCGACCTGGAGCTGTATGGCCCTGCCCTCCTCTCTTTATTTTTCTCAGCCCTTTCCTGTTGAAGAGCCCTAGGGCAGTGTCTGAGCTTTTCTGATGCTGCTCTCCTGGTGTAGGTCAGCTTGTTCCTCTATCCTCTGCATTTCTCACAACCTGGCAGCTGCATTCTGAGGCTCCATCAGACTTTTGGAAAGACTGTAGGTGGTTTTATGATCTTTCATAGAAAACCATTTCTGTTTTTTTCTCTCTTTTAAATATATATAGCAATTGTTGGGTTTCAACGGTTTTATAGATTGATTCTTTGGAGGTTGCAAAATAGAAATATTAAAATTCTATTATTTTGTTTTCTCCTCATCTATTACTTGGTTACCCAGTGACACAGTTTACATATAAATCTTTGATTATTTTTTTACTTGTGTAGTTTTCTAGATAATTAATAGGTTTCCTGAAGTTTTTGAAGATGGCCCATTATAAAAATATATATAAAGGTGAACTCGTGGATTTATGTATATTTGAGGTATTTCAATCCATTGCGATAATTATCCTTATTGAGGTTCAAATTGTTTCTCTTTTGATCACTGGGAGACTCTTTGAATTGGTTCTTCAGTCATAGTATTTAAAGACTTCTTTGTTATCTGGCAAAGATGTCCCAGGTTCACTTTGTAAACATTCTGCTCAGTCCTAGAATCCATCCCTTCTTTATATTATAAAGCAGTGTTTTCTTATAATGAGAAGTGTTATTTCAAGACTGCAAATTAGGTACTGGGGATATTCATTGATTCTGGGATGATAATTATTCCTAATTATTTTTCCCAAAGGATAGAGCTAGGAAACTGTATGTGTATGTGTGTGTGTGTGTGTGTGTGTGTGTGTGTGTGTGTGTGTAAGAGAGAGAGAGAGAGAGAGCGCAATTTTTAAAATACAAAATATCTCATAACTTCCACTTATATTTTCAGTTCAAACTAATATCCACTAGATTTTTATTTAATCATTTCTATATTATACCTGTATCTCCTATTTTTCACACTGAGAATCCTGGTTCTTATTTCAAGGGGATGATAGAATTAGAATGTTAGATAATCTTTGTTTTTGTTTTATTTCATATGACACACACCACAGTCTCAGAATATATATTCCTACCTCTTTTACCAATATGATTGTTCACATTGTTGGAAAATTATTTGCTCATGTTATATCCATCCTCTCCCTATGTCAGAGCATACAGCCATTCTATGCTATACTCCCCTTCCCCCTTTTAGTCCTAATTTAGACCTTGTTCTTTAAACATTGTGTGTGTGTGTGTATGTGTGTATGTGCACATAGAGAACGGGGGGTGAGCTCTTAGACAAATAAAAAAATCAAGCATTTGGTTTCAGATAATTTTTATAAAGCACCAAGGTGTTCTCTGCTTCTGCCTAGTGTTTCAGTGCTCATGTTTGCAGTGATGCATCCTGACTGCCTGCTGAACTGATAGCATTTTTCTTTAAATGCTAAAATTCTCAACATTGGAGATGCCTGCAGTTTAAAAAGCTCTCCCTGTGCTTCTAATAACATTCTCTCCCAACCTGGGACATCTTCCTACAATTTTTCCAGTGTCTGGATTTATAAATAAAATGAGACCTCTTTTCATTGTTCCAGCCCTCCCTCTGTCCTGGAAGAAGTCCTTGCAACCTGAGGTGGGGAGTGAGAGGTGGGGGAAAAAGCACTTGTTGAAGGAGTCCCTGCAATGCTCCACACTGCAGAGCTTTTCCACCCAGAACAGCTGGGGAGAGTGTTCTTTCTCTTTTGGTTGCACAGGTCCTAGATCACTGTTTGTGTTTTGAGTGTACACAGGATCATTTTTATGAGCAAGCCTTCCAAACATTCCTCCTCCTGCTAAATTAGCTTGTCAATCAACAAAAGCCCATGCTCAAGCAGCCAGATGATTTGTTTTTTTCTTTTGATATGTTTTTCTCAGTCCAACATTAAGGAAGTCAAATTCTTCATGATATACTCGTGGCTGAGTCATGATTTGATAATTGGGGTTTGTCTCTCCTGGACTTTGCAATCAGGCCAGATTTTGAAGTATGTGGAGGACAATTTCTAAGTATCTCAGAGGAGTTTCTTATCAGGGATTAAAGAGGCTGCATTATCTACTATTGCAACTGCAAAAGAATTATYAAAGAAGAAATAACTTACTTATAGCCATTGGAGGAGGACCTGGATACCCCTCAGCCAAAAGGAAAAGGTTCTAAATTCTTATGGCCTTTCCATGGGGACAAAAGTGACTTTTTATTATTGTTGTTTCTTTGAGACAATGTCTTTCTGTTGCCCAGGTTGGGTTCAAACTCAGTCTTCCTGCCTCAGCCTCTCAAGGAGCTGGGATTACAGATGAGTACCACTGGGCTCAGTCAAAAGGGTATATAACCTTGGGCTGGGGATGTGGCTCAAGCGGTAGCGCTCTCACCTGGCATGCATGTGGCCCGGGTTCGAGCCTCAGCACCACATACAAAGATGTTGTGTCCACCGAAAACTAAAAAATACATATTAAAAAATTCTCTCTCTCTCTCTTAAAAAAAAAAAAGGGAGTATATGACCTCTATAGGGTATTCTGGGATTCCTCTTTGATAGCTCTCTTACACAATTAGGCAGTATAGTTGCCTGCACACTTCCTTTGAGACCTGAACATCTGTCTAGAACTCCATCCTCAGCACAGCTCTCAGCATAGATGGCTGATGTACAGGAAACTACACCCAAACCTATTGGCTCTTTAGTGAAGAAACAAAATAAAGAACTTTTGGAATGTCCTGCTAGTATTTGCCAGGGTGGTGTTTTTAAACCCATGTATGGGCTTCATTTTAATTGTGTGTTTTTGTGTGTGTCTTCTTATACAATATAAGATTTCCATCGTTGTTTTTGGGGATCATGTCTTAATTCCTTTTTTTTCCTCCTGGTAGGCTGTTGTCAAGACATGGAGTTTGGTTTCAAGGTTCCCAGAAAGCTCACCTGTGTATTATTTGCTGCGGGACATGGTGCAAGGGTGGTGGGGGAGTTCCTTCTGACCTTTGTGCCTGGCTGATTAACTCAGGAAGATTCTTCCTCCACACCTCTCTTCTACTTTGCCCCTTGACCAGCTGTATGCTGTGGAGTGACACATCTTTGCCTTTCCGGTCATCCTGCTTCTGGAATTTCTCTAAAATTCGTTTTTTTTTTTTTTTTAACCAGATGCAGACAGAAACCAATTAAGACTTTGAAACTCTGGCCTTTTGCCTGGATTGTGATTTGAGTGGCATGTTGGAACACACACACACACACACACACACACACACACACGACTTTTATTAACCCTGTCTCTTTACATGTTGCTGCTATAGCTTCCTCTTTACCTTTACTGCTAACCTTCTTGAAAAAGTAGTCTACACATACTCTTCTCTCCACTAACTCAACTCTTAGGCACTTTCCAATGTATTCCAGAATGGTTTCTACCTGTATCGTGCCAATGAAACTTTTCTTGCTGAAACCACCAAGTACCTCCTAATAACCAATTTCCAGTTTGGTTGTATTTGCATGGCATATCCTTTTCCACCTTGTCAGTAGGGCCTTGTCATCCTTCATGCAGTTCAAGCCTCGATGCCCATGTACAACTTATATGGAGGCTGGTATGCGGGATGGATGAATGAGGAATAAATGAATATTGTCACCACTGGAAGACATCTTGGGCTCTTCCCTCATTTCTTCACCCAGTTCCAAGTGATCCCTAAAACCCACCAAATTATGCTTCAGAGATGTCCAGTGTCTCCTCTGCTTTTCCATCTCTAGTCCTAGACCAGGTCTTGATCATCTTCACCAGGTTATTTAATCTTCCAGCCAATATTTTCTCAATCCATTTCTGTCTTCAATCTACTTCCAAAATTTCCATTGGAAGACAAATCTGATAATGTCCCTGTTCTCTTTAATGATCACTGMTGGCAGCCCTTGACCCATGGGACTCCTGCCCCAGTTCCTCCTGTGGTGTGTGTGTTCCTCATGGCCTGACACCAGCCTGCGGTGTCAGCCATGGCCTAAGGCTCATTGGGGTTTGTACTCCAGCCTCTTTYCAAGGTTCCCAAGGACATAGCCATTTTTCAAACTTCAAACTGTTTAACAGAGACTGGACTCTCCCTTACCTGTTCCCACCTGGCCAATGCATACGTGTGCAGTTAGATGGTGTTCCGATGTTCTCTTTCTGATTGCTCTTTTCTGTGGGCTCTGATATAATTTTGTTCATATTTGCAATAACCTGATCAATACATTAAGTTCTAATCTCTGAAAGGTCTATGGTACCTTCCACCACATATGTAAATCTATATTAAAATCATATTAGCCAATTTGTGATTCTACCCCCCCACACACACACACACAGGATAACATCATAGATATTTTCTTCTAAAATACCAAATGTGATGTTCTTCCCATTTTCCCCCTCATTTCTTTGGTGTCCCTGTTTTTCTGGTTCCCCAATCAATGATATCGTTTATGGCTGTGAGTTAGAGGCAGTATAGCTCATTGGCCAATAAAACAGACTTTGACATTAGATTGCACCAGATCTGCCACTTGTTGGCTTTGTGACCTTGAGCCAATTACTAAACCTCTCTGTACTTCAGTTACTTCATCTTTAAAATAGAGATTATAACAGTATCTACTTCATTGGGCTGTTTTTAGGCTAATCTATAACAAGCACTATTCCTCTCGTACAGTGAGTTATGTGTCTTTGGTGTCYGTTATTAACATGGCTTGTGTAGAGATTTGCTTGGTAAATTGAGCCCCTTGGGGGCAGATGCTATACCATATTCATCACTGCAAAACCTGGTGCTTAGTGTCCATGCAGGTAGTGTTTAACAAGTGAATGATAATCAGAAGGTAAGTAARTGTGACTCTACTGATTCTCTTGCAGAGTTCTCTAAGTTTATTGGCCTACCTAGAAAAAAACACTGAAATAGATGAAGATAATATGATATTACTGGAGAAAGTTTTTAAAAAGGTTGCACCTTTCCTTCTAAGGAAGATAGAGAACTATAAAAGAGAGAAAGGTAAGCAGCTTATTTTTGCTTACTTGCCCCATGTTTATATGTAGGAGGTTTTCTTATCATTTTGGTAATATTTTCTTGGGAAAGCCAGAAATCTCCTCATTTGTTCGTTCAGTACATATTTATTGAATGCATACTTTAGCCCAGGCATTATTTTATAAATTGGAGGTATATTGCAAAGCTCCTGCCCTTTTGGAGCTTATGTTCTAGTGGGGGAAAGTAGTTTTAGGCAAATGAATATAATGCAGAGATAGCTAGCTCATTCTTTTTTTTTTTTTTTCCTTTGTGCTTAGGCTTGAACTCAGGGCATTGCACACACTAGACAAGAGCTTTGGTATGTCTTACAAAGATAGTTTTTCTTTGATATTATGTAAAGGTGGAAACACAGGGCAGGAATTATACCTGACAAATGTCAATATGCTAAATAGTAAATATTTAGCATAAACAAAGTTTCTCTGGGTCTATTTCCACTGTTAAGAGCAATATATAAAAATTCATGACTATGTTTGGGAAGTTTCTCTGCTATACCCATATTTTGTTCAGTGAGTTAATCTAGCATGCAAAATTCTTTCTTTAAAAATGAAACTAGCCAAGAGGAAGCTTCCTTCTAAGAATTCAATGAAGACAAAATAAGTTGAGAAACAAAATATACTCTTGTGAAATTGATAAAATCTCAAACAATAACTAAAACAATAAATAAATGTAAATTTAATTAAAATTATTATGACAAATAAAAACAGTTCTTTCAGTCACATTATCAAATAGGAAATGAAAAGTAGGAAGTTGATACTGAAAGAGTATTTGGAATCCTCAGGTGAATTCCAATGTGTCTTTTTTCTACTCACCCATTTTTCCCACACAAAGAAATACAGGGCAGGGGAGCAGGTTATTGTAGATATAGGGGAGCAGGTTATTGTAGATATGGGGGATCAGGTTATTGTAGGTATTTGAACTCTGGAGGAGACTCACTGGTTTCTGTGTGATCAGCATTTACATCTGCCTCACAGAGTCTTGAGTATATCAGAAGAGTTCTGATTTTCCTCTTTCTTTTTTTTTAAAATATATTTATTTTATTCATTTTAGTTATTGATGGACCTTTATTTTTTATTTATATGTGGTGCTGAGAATCGAACCCAGTGCCTCACACATTTGAGGCAAGCGCTCTACCACTGAGCCACAACTCCAGCCCTCCTGTTTCTTTTTTAAACCTATCTGTGTGGTCTGCTCGGGTGGCAAGTATTATTACTCTTTTAATGTTGGCTTTCTACAATCCTGAGTTTGGGCCTAATTCTGCCTTTAGGATGAAAGACTGTTAAAGACTGAACAGAAARGGTGTGCAGAGCTCAGACTCTTCTATGTGATCTAAAGTCCAAGTCCCTTTTGTTTGATTAAGACCTGGCTTTATTTAAGGTSATCTGGCTCACTTTCTGAGTTTACTTGAACTTTGTTGTTTGCTTTAATATTTTAAATGTATTATTAAAAATAATGTATGTAATTATAATGAAATTAAATAAAAATTCAAATAATGAAAATAATACAGAGTATGGAAGATAAAAATCTTTTCTCTTCTTCCTTCCATTGCCAACCTATTCTGCAGAGATAACTACTGTTTAGAATATATTCTTGTGGGCTGGGGTTGTGACTCAGCAGTAGAGCGCTCGCCTCGCACGTGTGAGACTCTGGGTTCGATCCTCAGAACCACATACAAAATAAACAAGTGAAATAAAGGTGTTGTGTTCAACTACAACTAAAAAAAATAAATATTTAAAAAATAACTTAAAAAAGAATATATTCTTGTAGATTTTCTTCTGTATAGAAACAACTGTGAGTGTGTGTGTGATGTATGTGTAAACAGGACCATRCTAACTATATTTTGTAACTTGCTTTTTCCCCACCCAATATGCCTGACATTTTCCATGAATATAATACAGATATAGTTAGCTTATTCTTATTAATAWTTTCAAATAAATCCTTTTTATGGATATGTACATTTAACTACCACTTCTGAATGTTTTTTCTTTTGTCTTTTTTCTTTCTTTCTTTTTATTCTTGTAGCCTGACTTCTGATATTATTTTTTGAGGAAATCCTTTTGGAATCTTTTCAACTATCTGAAACATTAAGTACCATAAATTATGAAATGTTATTTGGTAAAATATATGGTAGTTTTAAGGAGTTAATAAAATTATAAAAATAATAGGAACAGTAAGAAAGAATATATGAAATACAAAAAATAAAAATATAACAACAATAAAAATAATTATAAATTCACATTTTTTTTTCTGAGTATTTATGTAGACTTCCACAAGAAATGCCATTGCAAATTTAAAAACCTSTTTAAAATAGTAACTTTTGATGATTGATTGTCTTGGATTAGTATTAGTTAGACGGTGAATTGTTTTTTGTTTTTTGTTTTCTGCGTGTGGTTTTATTTACAGCTGCCCAGGAAGTGACACCTCCCGTGGACAAAGAAACTGAATCATTGCCTCAAGGRCAGGAAGAAATATTTACTCCATCAGACATTAAGCGGTTCCACGGAGCCTTAACAGTAAGTTGAGTGTTGTTCAGGCCAGTGTTTACCAGCTGTCTACTTCCACCTCCAGTCTCCAGGGAGAGRGAGCAGGGAGGGATGGATCCTGATAGGTAGCATTTGTAAATATTCCCACCATGGCAGATTTCAAATGATCAACATGACATCGACCAGGTTGCAGATTTCCTGAAAATTTGACAATTAGCTCTCAGTAGTTGGCCTGAGCTACCACAGCACTCCCTTGGGTTGCTTTAAAATGGTGCCTCTGTTCTTATCTGTAGGAWAAGATCAGTCTGGCTTCATGGGTATACAAGCCATGGGGTTTCACAGGACCCTCTTCCTTGGTTTTAATAGTCTTCTGTCACTGTTGTGACATTCTTAATAATGTATGAATAAAGGACTCTATAAATTATAAAGCTGGTCCACCCCAGAAGGTTGAGAACTGGGTTCCTGGTTTCTGTAGTTCTCAGCAGTCGAAGACTGTGGAGAGCAATCTTGGGAGAATCTTCARTGTTGCTCATAATGTGACAGTGAACCTTGGGAACTCTGAGTCTTTACTTGCCKCAGTCTGGCTGGGCACAATTCAGGAGCCACTTGTCAAAAGAAACMAACTTTATTTTTAGAACCACACATACCAAACAAAACAGCTCCTCAGGAAAAACCCTCAGAGCCCAACTGCCACCACCGGCTTCCCACAAGCCTCTCACACAAAACAAGCCTCACCACCTCCCAC